CCAACCCTTTGTGGCTGGCTGGGGAATTCTGGGAGCTGAAGTCCACACGCCTTCAAGCTGCCAAGGTTGAGAAACACTGGTCTAAACAATGTCTGGCAGGGTCATCCGCTGGGGAAATCTAATTAAGAGGAGGGTTGAAATTAAGCTAAATCCGGAGTTTGTAAACAGGGCTCTTGCTTTCCGAGATGCCCAATGAGACAGGCAGGGAAATGTCAGGTGCAGAATAGGAACGCAGGTCGCAGAACTGAAGCAGCAGAAAGGTTCAGCATGAGGCAGAAAGAAAACGCCCCCCACGCGAGGGTTTCCGTAGTGTAGCGGTTATCACGTTCGCCTCACACGCGAAAGGTCCCCGGTTCAATCCCGGGCGGAAACATTTTGCACCTGTCCACTTTCTGCACGACGGTGACAATCCGAAACTGCGCCGTGTTGAGGGCGTCGGCATTCCTTTCCCCCCCCTTTTCCATTCCTGGGTCGCCTTCCCTGAGTCCGCTCCGCTCTGGGCGTGGGGCAAAGCGCTCTTAGGAAGAAGGGCCTGGGTGCAGAGCAGCTCCCCCATCAAGAAGGGTTTTGCATGGGAATCCGGCCGAGGGAGGGTGCGCTGGTGCCCCTGTGGCTTTGCAGGTACGAACCGGGGGAGTAAAGGGTGGGAAGGGGGTGGAAGTGGGGAGGCGCGAGATTCCGCGCCTGCAGAGGGAAAACAATGGGATTAAAAGAGCACGTAAACGAGGGGCTGATGGCGTTTGGGGACGGAAGCAAAGTTGGCCTAAGTCTGATGATAACAAGAAAAGGTCTGCGTTGGCCGGGAATCGAACCCGGGTCAACTGCTTGGAAGGCAGCTATGCTAACCACTATACCACCAACGCCTCTCTGGCTTCCGTCTTTTGCTCTGGTCCTATTCAAACCATCCCTAACTTAGGCCATACCATGTCACAACCATGGCAGGAATACGTTTTCTCCCTTTAACCGCCGCTCATACGAAAGATGAAAAAAATGCTCCGCAGGGAACAAGAGAGAAACGGCTATCTGAGGGGGTTGATCCATTTTCCCTTCCTGGGAGGCAAAATCGCCCCCCTTTTTCAGGAAATGGTTCCTCCCGCCTCAGGTGCCAGGCTCCGCCCCAAGGGTACCTTGGCAACGCCGGCCCGCTACCATGGCAACGTCGCCCAACGCCGCCATTCCCCTCCTTCGGGGAATCGTTCCTTCCAAAGCGGACTAAACTTTTATTTTATTTTCGTTTTACACAAAACTTGAATGTCCTATATAGGTTTACTGTCTGTAATACTCAGGAGTTACTGTGACACAAACATACTATATAATTCGCATTCGTGTTTTTATTTCCTTGCACCATTCCTCTTTTCCAACCTTTCTCTCTCAGCCACACTACCTCCCCCCAAATTTCACCGAATGGTTCCTTCCAAATGTCCTCCAAGGCCCCCCCCTTCAGTATGGTCATTCTCCTCCCTCAAGCGACAAACGGGGATTCCCGCGCCTTTTGTTCACTCTCGCGAGATGCCGGCGCCGACTTTCAACCTGTACCCCTCTCGCGAGAATGGCAGGAATCCTTCCCCTCAGGGCCCCGGTCCTTCTCGCGAGATGACGAACCAACCAGGGAGGCTGAGCCCACTTCCGCTTCCGGGCGAAAGGTCGCGGTGGGAGGCTCGGAGAGGCCGGCGGTTTCCCTTCCCCCCTCCCCCGTTTCCGGGAGCTCCTGAGTCCACAGGAAGGGAAATGGAGCGGGAGTGAAACCGCCGCGGGACCTCCCGACCCCTCCCT